GTACTATAACATTTTTCAAAAATATAATTTCTTGAATTGGTACTTTTCATCAAATTTTACGTAGGTGAGGCAGCGCTAAGATCTGCCTACCCGGATGAAAGCATCTTTTAAAAGTGGAGTTATCATTACTACTATTCCCGGAAATTATTCTTACGAAAATGAAAATTCATTTTACAATTGTAATGTTAACATTTTTCAAAGATATTTTTTTAAATTTTGTTATTTATCATCTGTTTTGATGTAAGCGATTTAGCGCCAAGAATCAGTCTACCCGGAAGTGAGCATCTTAAAAGCAGCGTTATCATTATTACTATTCACTAAATGTATTCTTATTTATGTAATAATTTATTTTACAATTGTAGTAATCACAATTTTCAAAAATGAATTTTCTTATTTTGATACTTTTTATAAAATTTGATGTAAGCGAGGCCACGCAAGGAACTGCGTATTTGGAAATGAGAATATTTTAAAGTGGCTATTACTATTTACTAAATGCATTCTTATTTAAATAATATTTCATTTTACAATTGTAATATTAACATTTCTCAAAATTTTTTTATTTTTTATTTTGGCACTGTTCATAGTCTTTGATGTGAGGCAGTGCCAAGAACTGCCTACCTGGAAGTGAGCATCTTTTAAAGTGGCGTTATCGCTATTACAATTCACTAAATGTATTATTATTGAAGTAATATATCATTTTTAATTTTCATATTAGCATTTTTTAAAAGAAAATTCTTATTTTGGTACTTTTTATCAAATTTAATGTAAGCGTGGCAGCGCCAAAGTCTGCCTACCCGGAAGTGAGCATCATTAAAAGTGGCTTTATCGCTTTTATTATTAACTAAAATATTTCTTATTTCATTAATATTTCATTATACAATTGTATTAACATTTTTCTGAAATATATTTTCTTCTTTTCATCTACATTTCATCAAATTTGTTGCAAGCGAGGCAGCGCCTAGAACTGCCTAAATAGGGAGTGAGCATCTTTTAAAGTTGTTTTATCGATATTACGATTCACTAAATGTATTATTATTTAAATAATATTTAACTTTACTTTTATAATATTAACATTTTAAAAAATACATTTTCTTATATTGGTAAATTTATCAAATTTGAAGAAAGCGAGGCAGCGCAAAGAACTGCCTACCCGGATGTGAGCATCTTTTATAGTGGCTTCATAGCTATTACTAATCACTAAATATATTATTATTTAAATAATATTTCATTTTACAATTGTTCTATTTTAAAATTTTCAGTAATATATTTTCTTCTTTGGGTTTTTTCATGAAATTTGATGTAAGCGAGGAAGAGCCAAGACCTGCCTATACGTATGCGAGCATCTTACATAAGTAGCGTTATCAATAATACCATTCACTAAATGTATCCTTATTTAAATAGATTTCTTTTCACTATTATAATATTAACATTATTTTGGCCCTTTTTATCTAATTTGATGTGAGCGAGGCAGCGCCAACAACTACCTCCCCGGAAGTGAGCATCTTTTAAATTGGCGTTACCATTATTACTATTTACTAAATGTATTATTATTTTATTATTGTAATTTACAATTGCTCTATTTACATATTTCAAATGTAGATGTTAGCGAGTCAGCGCCAAGATATGCCTATTCGGATGCTAGCATCACTTAAAGTGGCGTTATCGCTATTACTATTCACTAAATGTATTTATATTAAATTATTTAAATAATATTTCATTTTAAAATTGTAATATAAACATTTTTCAAATTGTATTTTATTATAGTGGTATTTTCATCAAATTTGATGTAAGCGAGGCTTTGCCACAATCTGCCTTCTGCGTATGTGAGCATCCTTTTATAGTGGGGTTATCACTTATCATTTAAATAATAATAGATTTAGGGAATAGTATATTGCATTTTACAATTGTACTATTAAAAAATTATATATATTTTTTCTTTTTTTGGTCATGTTTTTTGTATTTGATGTAAGAGTGCCAGCGCTACGATCTGCCTATCCGGAGATGAGGATTCTCGTAATGTGGTGTTATCACTTATGCTATTCACTAAATGTATTCCTTCTTCAAAATATTTCGGTTTACAACTGTACTAATAAAATTTTCAAAAATATGTTTTTTATTTTGTTACTTTTCATCAAATTTCATGTAAGCGATGCATAGCTACGATCTGACTACCCGCAAGTGAGCATCCTCTTCAAATGGCGTAATCATTTTTACTATTCTTTAAATGTAATAATATTTAAATAATATTTGATTTTACAATTGTACTATTAACATTTATAAAAAATATATTTTCTTATATTGGTATTTTTATCAAATTTGATGTAAGCGAGGCAGATCTGCCTATCCGGATGTGAACATCTCTTGAAGTGGCGTTATCACTTATTCTATTCACTAAATATATTGTTATTCAAATGATATTTCAATTTACATTTGTACTATTATCAAGGTTTTAAAAATATAATTTTTCTCATTTTGCTAGTGGTTTTCAAATTGGATGTATGCGAGGCAGCGCCAACCTACTCGGTTTTGAGCATCCATTTAAAGTGGCGTTATCACTTTTACAACTTACTAAATCTATTAATTTTTAAATTAAATTTTAATTTACAATTGTACATCTAACATTTATATGTAATAATTAAAATTATTGTTTATCGTACTGGTAGTTTTCTTTGAAAATGACGTAAGAGACGCAGCACTAAGATCTACGTACCCGTGTATGAGCATCCTCTTGAAGTGGCGTTTTCACTTAAAACTATTCACTAAATATATGATTAATCAATTTTTTATTTATATTGGTACTATTAAAATTTAAAAAAGATTATCTCAATTTTGTATTTTTAAAATTTGATGTATGCGAGGCAGCTCCAAGATTTGCCTACCCGGTTACGAATATGAGCATCCTTTGAAAGTGGTGCTATCCCTTCTACTTATTACTAAATATATGATTATTTAAATTATTTTTTTATTTACAATTGTGCGAATAACATTTTACATTCAAAACAAGAGAGAGAGAAAACATGAAAATTATCCCAAGGTAAGACAGTTTTCCCTACTTATTCAACAAAGCATTATATTATAAACAAATTGCAATAATAAAAATTCAGTTAAGCTCAAACTATTTTATTAGCGAACACACCGTTTACACCCCGTAGAGTTTTAGTGTGCAGACTGATTCTTCAAACTTTTAATGTTTCTGAAATTCATATTGTCGATGTAGAACAAGTGTTGCAATTCTGGTGCAGGTTGTTGTGAGTGCAGCCTCCTACATTGCTTATTTCTCAATGCAGTCCGAGGGTCGAAGTCCACACACGATGTCCACAATGAATGTGTCGAGACACAACCAAGCATTTGAAATGATTCAGCGTGTTTTTTCGCTCTCCAATTGAGGCCACTTAATTCGTCCTAAAATAACTTGAGCTCGCTTCAGCGTGAGGCAGAGGGGAAGAAAACTGAAATTCACCAATTCTTTTCAAACAGACAGAAAATAAAAGAATACCACCTGATTGGCATATGACTAGCATAAACACACATTTTAAAATTTTGCCTCTCCTACACGATTTATTATTATTATTATTATTATTATTATTATTATTATTAGGATAGAGTTTTCTAATGCGAAATACCGAATTATCAGACTTGCAACGAATAGACATCTGGTGTCAAAATTTGGAAATTACTTGGAAGATGCCCTTGAACGAGTGTAGAAAATGTTTTTTGATTTGAAGATGAGTGCGTTGGCAAGCACGTTTTCTTCATAGCATCAATAACAATATTGGAACAGTAAACAAAACAATTGTTGTTACTCGTGTGCCGTAAATATTAGAATAATTACCTATATTGTACGTGTTAGTGGTATATCTAATGAAAAATCACAGAAAATAGAGTGGGCCACAAATCTCTCGACATAAATGTATCTTCACAAACGCAAGCATTAATATATGTATAAAAATGCTAAAAACACATCAACATTATTTCTCAACTATTATTATTACAATTCGTTTCGCCGTGTTCTCCTCCATTTTTAATATAAAATACACATATTTTAATGACAGAAGTATATGTAGCATCACAAATTTTTGACGATAAGATATCAAATTCGGATGTTATTTGCTTTCTTAAATGATGTATTTAATTCTTCAATCACATAATGGATCATTTCAAGGTAATATTCAATTGTCACATGATGTTCAAAATAATAAAGTGTAAAAAGGGCGCCATCAAAAATTCCTACCGTCAAAAGATTTTCTTCTTTAGTCATCGATTTCGGTCTACTTGATCGCCCAAGATCTACTAATACTTGCGCAACTTTTCTTGAACGATGACCTTCTCCCTCTCTGGCACAAACATATGTTTTCGGCAAAAGCCATATGAAATGTACTTGCCACTGCTCTAGTAGAATATTCTTGCTTCGTATTCTGGACCATCTTCAGTGAAAAAAAACAACAAACAATGCTACCAACGTGAGCATGTTTCAATGACACATTTACAAACCAACACGCGATTAAAGAGGCATTCTTGTTTGCAGTATTCAAAAATCGTTCGCCTGTTCTAATATGTACGGCCAACAAATCGAAACTAAAAATAGCGTCTAACAAACTGGATGTTGTTCTTCTGAATTTGGATTTAAAAATTTTGTCTAGTTGTATGTTTTGCTGTGCCATTGCTATCAAAACGTCATTACAGAGGAAAGAGAGAAACGTCTTAAAAATAAGTGTTTGGAAATCGAAGTGATTCCTTATGTTATCCCCCAGATGTACACTTAAGTCATAAAATAGTTTTAATAACAAAAAAGACATTTTGCCATACTTCCGGACTCTAGTAATAATAATAATAATAATAATAATAATAATAATAATAATGACGATGATAATAATTTTCTATCAACACATTTTTATGACAATTTCTTTTCAATTCAATATTGTAGTTTTGTAGGAGGACCTTAGGAAGTTGCGAGGGTGAATAAAGACTCATTAAGCTCCAGGAAAGTTCAAAAAGTTCAGTTCAGTTCCAAAAAAGGACCACTTTATTAAAATAAAGAATATACATTTTTCAAAATCTTAAAAATTAATATCGATAATCTCAACATTTTTCCAGATACCCAAATGATATTATTTTTCACAAAAGTATTAAAATTATAAATCAAAAATAAGAATATAAAAACAATCATCAAAAATCAACTACCATGCAATGTTTACTGTTCTCCATGATTTTTGTAATGAAATGTTTAATACTTCTGGAGATTTTACATATTTTTTAATTAAACTAGAAACCAACGTAGAAAATATTACATTTTAAAAATAGATTTTTCGTATATTTCAATTTTTTATTGCTATTCTTCAGTTTCGTTATTGCTTATTTCCTTGTAATATTTTGTGTATGATCTGCAGACAGCATCGTATTTATTATAGATCAAATACAAACAGTATTCTTAGGGCATGTAGAAATGCTAGTGTGCGTGCTTCAAAGTGATTCACGGAATGGCCGCCGCGCGGCGCTAGTGTAGCTATTTTGGAGAGTAGCATAACCTGTATGCGGCTTTAAAAATGAATGTGATATTGGATTGTGGGTATTAATGAGAGCTATTGATTTTTATCGTTGAAACAGTATAATATTCATGTTTTTATCGAGAAGTTGCACTCATACTTTGAGAGACGTGATAACAATGAGGCAATATTACGACGTTTTTAAATAGGTAATTATTTAATAAATTGTTAAAATAACATACTTTCTCAATAATAATGGTATATTTTTATTTATCGTTTATATAACGCCTTTTTAAAGAGTCAATATCAGACAATCATAATATACAATTAGGACAAGATAAAAAATATTGTAGGTATTTATTACATGGGAAATGAAATTACTTCCATGCCTAAAATAATTAATTTACGCCTTTTAAACAATTACTGAAATAATTGCCGTATTTACGCAACGATATAACATCACCCAATTTCTTTCGTAACAAGTACTTGTATCACCACCGTACAAACAATTTGAAGTCAAAGATGGAGGCTTCCGTGTCGAATGTCAATATTTATTTGACTGTCCGGCAGACGCTGATTCCTAAGCACAGATGGCAACGTTTCAGCAGTCAAACTGCGACCTTCTTCAGGGAAAATTCGGCAGCATAACGACCAAAACGTTGGCATCTAGGAACGGTGTGTTCCGGATATATAATGCCAAATATATAATGTATTATACACATATTAAGTATATATTCCATAATGCACATGTTCCAAATCATTGAAGTTAATTCGTATGTTACATGTTTTCGGTATCAACGATGTTTACAGCCGATGCTGCCATAACGGAAAGAGACGGGCGAGCTTGTACGGCGCACCAATATTTGCTCGTTCTGCGCAGCATCAGTTTACGTCACGGACCACGTGACCACAACTCGGGCACTTCGTGTGACATAAAGTGGCTTCGCAAGTGGCATAAAGTGACATCTTTCAACAGTGACCAACCAACAATAACACAATAAAGGTGTACTAGATGCAATAACCAAAAGAAATGCTTCGTGTACCTGTTTCAATGACTTGTCACAGGAAGCTTATTTTCGAATTCGGCTACATTTATAAATCCGGCTAATATTGTGACGTACATTGATGCCTGAAGCTCATTGGCTGAAGTCGGACACGATGCTCAATAGCTCACCCGTATCTTTCCGCCATGGACACCGCATTAGAACTCCGGGAACGGGGGTGGCATAGAGGGGGGGGGCGACTGGCGCCTAGAGCCAGCCTTTCCGGTTGTACTCCGGGAGGACGCGCTGGAACCACCTTCGCATGGCCGGCTGTTGGTAGGCTTGCGCCCCGGAGAGCTGGTCGCCGGCCAGGCGCGCCTCGATGTCCATTTGCTGAGTCGCCCGCACGATCGGAGTCACGCATGTGGAGCTGTACACGGCGTACAGCCCGTGGCGGTCCAGGTCCGCCAGCAGCTCTTGCAGCGACGGGGCCTGCAACGCGACAAGGGTTCATTGATTGATTAATTAATTGGTTGATTGATTTTTGCGTGGCGTACAGACCGTGCCGGTTCAGGTCCTCCTGCAGCGACGGAGCATGCAACGCAACAAGGGTTCATTGATTGATGCATTGATTGGTTGATTGATGTTTGCATGGCGTACAGCCCGTGCCCATTCAGGTCCCCCTGCAGCGACGGAGCCTGCAATGCAAGAAGGGTTCATGGATTGAGCCACCAGCTCTTGTAGCAACGGAGCCTGCTACGTTAAGATTTAATTGATTGATTGATTGTCGTACAGCCCGTGGCGGTTCAGGTCCTCCAGCAGCTCCTGCAGTGGCGTAGCCTGCAACGCGACAAGGGTTCATTGATTGATTGGTTGTTTGATTGATTAATGTTTACATGGCATCCAGCTCGTGCCGGTCCAGGTCTTTCTGCAGCGACGGAGCCTGCAACGCGACAAGGGTTCATGGATTGATGGATTGATGTTTGCATGGCGTACCCGTGGCGGTCCAGGTCTGCCAGCAGCCGTTACTGCGACGGTGCCTGAAATGCGAGGAGGGTTGATTGATGTTTTGCTCTACAGCGTGGTAATTATGACAGATATACCTATAAAAAGTTTGAAAAAATGTAGGAGATGATTTTGAGGAAATCTTGTTTTTAATATTGCCCATAATTCATTCAACATTATTTGAAAAATACAACAATTTTCAAGAAAATATACATGATTCTGGAAACCAGTTTTATTTGAAGAAAAATATATTTTCTTCCATATTGTAGTTGTCGGAATAAGCCAAAAAATCAACCGATTAACTTCTATAAGTTTAGGAAATTCAGAGTTAACAGTATGAATCGCACCTATGCAGTCTTTATAAGTGAATTTCACTCTATTTTTAAAAGAAATTGAAAGAAAAACTTTGGTGCCATAGTTGAAAAAATATTTGAGAAACTTTTGGGCGATTTCAAGTGAATAAACAGAAATTAGAGGATAACGAAGTCATCATTTACGAAGAATAATTTCAATAATAAAAAGGTATAGAATGAAGTAATGAAATACTCTGTACCAAAAATGGCGTAGCTTAATTTACATATTTGTAAACATAATTACATTGAAGTTGAAAATCAACGGATTACAGTTATTTCCAGAAACTATTCTCCACGTGTTTGTTGTCTGTATTTATGTCTTTACCTTCAATCCTAGAAGACCCATGACTTCCTGGAACTCGGCGTGGTATTCGCGAATCAGGAGATCTTGGTGGTGTTCCGAAACGTTGTCGCTGAGACTTGTATTGAGGAAATAGAGGATGTCGATTGCGGGTGAGCACACGTTGGAGATCTGCAAATAAAACAACAGCAAATAAAACAACAACAGAGTTTTCAGCAACAGCAAATAAAACAATAACACAGTTTTCAGTAAAACCACACATATTTATACTTAACAGTGGCGGAGCGTGAGAGAACATAAGGCGAAGTCATAAAGACGTGAATTGTGAATTTATTGATTTGGCACGCGTCAATTACCACGAACATTAGACCTGCATGTGTATTCCATGTTCAGGGAGTGGTGGCTCAGGGCAGCAACTGATATCACTGCAGAGCCTCTGACCGCGAGGTCCTAAGTCCGATTGCCGACGATGGCAGGAGTTTCGGCATGGGCGTGTCAGCTAGGTTGAGTTCATTCGCTGTCTGGATGCCAATTCTAACGGCCGGCTGCTTTGGTCGGTAGTCGCCCGTGGTTTCTTCGATCAACACCGAGCGAATGCCGGAGCAGTACCCGAACAAACGGGCCACGCGCAACTAGAGATCTTTTATAGAATGTTATTTTGAAAGACAATGAAAGAGAAGTGAACGATAAAAAATTATGCCTAATCTCAGGTGAGAGAGAATATTCGCAAAATATACGTGTACATAACCGAGCTGACGGAGTTTGAAATATTACGAAAGCTTAACATACTAGTCTTTTTTTTATCTATCAACAGTAGAATAATCTGGAATGGAGTTTGAGCATGGGTTTTGATACCCTCTCTCTATCTCTCTAACATCTTCCGATACACATTCCATGTTACATCTTAAGTTTTTACATTTTTCATTCACTACTATTCCTCTGAAAAATAAACAAACGTTTTACGAATATCAACATAGAACGACAGTGAAAGTCGTTATATGGCTTTTCTTACCTGGTAATCTACAAATCGAATGTCGACAGGAATCCCATCCTCATACCGAAACATCATGTTGTTAGTCCAAAAATCACCATGAACGACTACATTGAAACCGTCATTTTTGGTATCAAACATGTCCACAAGTTTTTTTATTTGTTCAGGATTCTGAAAAAGAAATATTTAAGTGTTACTTTGATCACTTTTCCCTTAATGTATTTTATTTTGTAATAAAAGGATAAAACAATGTTGTACGCATGAATAATTTAAAGTTTCCTATTTTGAACCATATCTTCTATTTGCATTCCCATGCTCTCAGTACAAATCAAAAAAACAAAATATTTAACAAAAACCGTCAATTAATTAATTTTAGTAAAAAAAATATATTTTAGGTAAAGATAATTAAAAAAAAAACAGTCTTCGCAGCTTTCTAAGTTGGACCTCAAAAGTTATACACGGGTGATCTATGTATCACTAATACTACATATGTTCAGACATTAAAGAAAAAAATGCTGTGAGTTTTTGAGTTTGATTTTAGTTTTCCTAAAAAAAAGGCGTCGACTGTGAATTCGACAGGTTACTCACCTTATATTTCTCGAGCGCATCGGCGTACGCCTCGAAGCCGGGCCAGAGCCTGCATGCGTCCGCCGCGGACTGCAGCCCCGCCTCCACGAAGGGCGAGCTGGCCGCCGGCGCGCCATCTCCCAGGGGTTCCCGAAGAATCAGCGGCCAGTTCGGGCTGCGCTGCGAGAAGTGCGTGGCGACGCGGCGTGGAAGCGGAAGGGCGCGCAGCGCCATCCAGAGAAGTGACTGCAGGGGGTTAGAATTTTAATTCAACGAGCAGGTAATGATGTAGATGGCCCTGAAGGCGGCCACCATATTGAAGCGAATCCAACCAATTTTTGGATACGTGTGCGGGCCGCTTAGCAGAGACGAGAGAGAGAGAGAGAGCCAAGAAAGGAGAGAAGAGAGAGTTAGAGAGAGTAGGAGACGAGTAGAGAGAGAGAGAGACGAGAGAGAGAGAGAGAGAGAGAGAGAGAGAGAGTAGACGAGAGAGAGAGAGTAGAGATGAGAGAGATGAGAGAGGAGAGAGAGGAGAGAGAGAGAGAGGAGAGTAGAAGGAGAAGAGGGAGAGAGAGCCGTAGAGAGAGAATGAGAGAGAGAGAGGAGAGAAGAGAAGAGGTTAAGAGAGAGAGAGAGAGAGGAGAAGAGAGAGAGATTGAGAGAGAGAGAGAGAGAGAGAGTAGAGAGATGAGAGAGAGAGGAGAGAGAGGAGAGAGAGAGATGAGATGAGAGAGAGAGAGAGAGAGAGAAAGAGAGAGAGAGAGAGAGGAAGAGAGAGAGAGAGAAGAGAGAGAGGAGAGAGAGAGAGAGAGAGAGAGAGAGAGAGAGAGAGAGAGAGAGAGGAGAGAGAGAGCAGAGAGAGAGAGAGAGAGAGAGAGAGAGAGAGAGAGAGAGAGAGAGAGAGCGAGAGAGAGAGAGAGAGAGAGAGAGAGAGAGAGAGAAGAGAGAGAAGAGAGAAGAGAGAGAGAGAGAGAGAGAGAGAGAGAGGAGAGAGAGAGAGAACGAGAGAGAGCGAGAGAGAGAGAGAGAGAGAGAGAGAGAGAAGAGAGAGAGGAGAGAGAAGAGGAGATGAGAGAGCAGAGAGAGAGAGAGAGAGAGAGAGAGAGAGAGAGAGAGAGAGAGAAGAGAGAAGAGAGAGAGAGAGAGAGAGAGAGAGAGAGAAGAGAGAGAGAGAGAGAGAGAGAGAGAGAGACGAGAGAGAGAGGAGAGTAAGAGAGAGAGAGAGAGAGAGAGAGAGAGGTAGAGAGAGAGAGGGAGGTAGAGAGAGGTAGAGAGAGGGAGGGAGGTAGAGAGAGGTAGAGAGAGGGAGGGAGGTAGAGAGAGGGAGGTAGAGAGAGGTAGAGAGAGGGAGGTAGAGAGAGGTAGAGAGAGAGAGGTAGAGAGAGGTAGAGAGATTCAGAACTTGATATGACCAAACTAGCGGTGGAAGACCACCGTTACCTTTCGCCATAAAAACGCACTACACTTGCGGGCATATTGACCATAGCTGTTAACGCGCCTGGAGTCATTAACCACGAATTCTCGTAGTATAGATCGAAGAAACAACAAAAAAAACTACCGATCAGAGCAGCCGGTGCTTGAGTACTCCAGACAGCAGCTGAATTCGATCTAGCTGAAAGGTTAGTGTCGAAAATCCTGCTACAGTCAGCACCCGATATCACAACCTTCTGGTCAGAGGCATTGCCGTACTATTAATGACGGCGGCGGTGTGACGGTTGCGTACCGGACTGCGTAACAAACCCGATCGAAGCCATTGATTTTTAGGGCGACAAAATCCTTCGTACGCCTTTCTTCGGAGGAAAGGGAAGTAAAGCCGGCTGTTTCATGTTAGTAGATTTATGTAACAATCATGTTATAGGCAATCATGTTATAGATTGCATGTAAAAGATCCTCAAGCGAAAATGACGCCTCTGAGCTAAATTCAAAATCGCCCGTTTCTCGGCCAAGAATTACCTCCTTTCTCTGCTAGATGAAAGGAGCGTAGAAAAAATTTGCGGAAGAGCGTGCCTGATGGCCCGAGTTTCGTCAAGTAAAATAAGGCAAATTCAATTCAAATCAATCAAATGCCCTGAGCCACCTAAGCCAGAATATGCAACAGCAATAAAAGTACTATTATACACAAGAATAAATGTAATAGTAATAAAAAAAGAAAGAAAAGTAAACAGAAAAAAGAAAAAAAGGAAAAAAAAGAAAAAAGAAAAAAAGAAAAAAGGAAGAAACAAGAAAAAAAGAAAAATGAAAAGAAGAAAAAAAGAAAAAAGAAAAAAAGAAAAAAGAAAAAGAAAAAATAGGAAAAAAAGAAAACAGAAAAACAGAAAAAAGGAAAAAAAGAAAAAACCAGAAAAAAGGAAAAAAGAAAAAATAAAAAAAGAAAAAAGAAAAAAACAGAAAAGCAGAAAAACAGAAAATCAGAAAGAAAGAAAAAAGGAAAAAAGAAAAAACGAAAAAAGGAAAAAAGAAAAAAAGGAAAAAAAGGAAAAAAGGAAAAAAGGAAAAAAGTTAAAAGAAAGAAGGAAAAAAGGAAAAAAGGAAAAACGGAAAAAAGGAAAAAGGAAAAAAGAAAAAAGGAAAAAAGGAAAAAAAGAAAAAAGGAAAAAAAAGGAAAAAAGGAAAAAGAGAAAAGAAAGAAAGAAAAAAAGAAAGAAAAAAAAGAAAGAAAGAAAGAAAGAAAAAAAGAATGAAAAAAGAAAGAATGGAAAAAGAAAGAAAGAAAAAAGAAAGAATGGAAAAAGAAAGAAAGAAAAAAGAAAGGAAGAAAAAAGAAAAAAATAAATAGAAAAAAGATAAAAAAGAAAAAAGAAAGAAAGAAAAAAGGAAAAAAAGGAAAAAAGGAAAAAAGATAAAAAGGAAAAAAGGAAAAAAAGAAAAAAGGAAAAAAGTAAAAAAGCAAAAAAGGAAAAAGGAAAAAAGGAAAAAAGGAAAAAAGGAAAAAAGGAAAAAAGGAAAAAAGGAAAAAAAGAAAAAAGGAAAAAAGGAAAACAGGAAAAAGGAAAAAAGAAAAAAAGGAAAAAAGGAAAAAAGGAAACTTAGAAAAAAGGGGAAAAAAGGAAAAAGGAAGAAAGGAAAAAAGGAAAAAAGGAAAGAAGGAAAATAGGAAAAAGAAAAAAGAAAGAAAGAAAAAAGAAAGAAAGAAAAAAGAAAAAGAAAGAAAAAAGAAAAAAGGCAAAAAAGAAAAAAAGAAAAAGAAAAAAGAAAAAAGAAAAAAGAAAAAAGGAAAAAAGAAAAATGGACAAAAAGAAAAAAGGAAAAAAGGAAAAAAGGAAAAAAGGAAAAAGGAAAAAAAGAAAAAAGGCAAAAAGG